CATACTATAAATTGCAGAAACACAGGCTTTCTGATTTCCTACCCAACAGTTAGGAAAACTTTGAATAACAAACCACAGGACCCTCTCTAATTTAGGGCTAGTACAGAAAATGAAAGGCCAACCATGTGCATCACAAGCCGTGCCCACATGGCCTGCTGGGGTTCTGCTACTTTGCCAAAGGCCTTAAATTTCATATTTACCCTTGGGAGCTGGGTAAAGAAGAGAATCACTTGGGATTTCCAGTTATAAGACTGTACTTCACACAAAGATATACTCACTTCCTAAAAAATGTGTTTGGAACTTCACTACCCCATTGAGAATGGAGACAAGAACACCACAGCTTTAACAGGCACAGGTTTCAATGAAAAACACACATCTCTATAGTATAATCCAAGTAGCCAAGTCCCAAACTACAGTCAGCTCCTCCCAAACATGTTTAATGTAACACAAAATGTACTAATTGTTCCAACAAATACACAATGTTACATGGTGTGCCATCACACAATGTTTAACCTATAAATAATTCCTGACATGCTATTCAGCTTTGGTACACAGCAAACACCTCAAAATCCTTCCACAATTATGTTATAATTGCAAGAACTATCCCTAGATCTTCCTTGCCCTCCGTGCACTTACACACACGCGCACGTGAAAAGCTATCACCAAATATAATGAAATAACTGCTAGATAACAAAACACAACCCAGTAATCATACTGCTCTTTGCTTCCATCCCCAGAACACAATAATAAACCTGTGGAAAAGTTCACTGCATTATTACCCTGCCTGTTAACATCTGACCGCATTTTTACATCACCTTCCTAATTACATGTTTATGTCGGATGACTGTAAATCTCCTCCACCTGCACATGCAACTCATTAGTTTACAAATACTAAACATGAAGACAACGGTACTGGGTTTAATGGGTTGGTTGTTTGAGATTTTTTTTTTTACAAATTATCTGCCAACAGCTCTCAGCATAATTTTAAAAGCACCTTTTCAGTAGTGCCCTGATATCTTATCCTAGTGATTGCTTTTATCACAGTAATTATTAAGCCTTTGTACACAGAGGTTAAAGTGCACATCCTTTTTTATAGTAGTTATTTTCATTTGTGTAGGGAACGCCTCAGAGTAGCACAGTACACCAGGCAGTACCTTAATTGCAAACTGATGGAGAGGGAAACACTGAGAGAACATCACTTTGCCTTACACCAGAAGGGATTTTGGTGGCTTTCTTGGCATTCATTTGGCATTCACAGCCCAGAATGTCTGGCCCCAGCTGGAACCAAGCATTCCTCCAGGAACTGTTATGAGGGAGAGACAGGTACAGATGATTTTTCTCTTGTTTTCTGAGCAAGAAGTTGAAGTTGTGGACCCCTTATTACATAGAGGCTAAAACACTTTCACCTGTGATGGCAGGACCATCACTCAGTTCTGCACCCAAGGGATCTTAGAGGTCTTTTCCAACCTTAATTATTCTATGAATCCAGCTGTATTTCCCAGCTTCCCAAAGTGTGGCCTAAACAACCCACAGAATTGCTACTGGGTTTAGATGGCATGTGGGGGACTTAATCCCTCCTTTCCTGCTCACCAGGCTACAGGGAGTGAGTTTAAGCTCATATGCAGGGTTCTCACCTAAAATAAGTGTTTTCCAAGAGCAATTTTTCTTTTTTTTTTTTTTAAACTAACACAATCTTTGGAGAAAAGTCCATACTTAACAGCTGCAGTGGAATGGGCTTGATGTTCTCATTTCCTCATTAAAAGCATCATACAATGACACGATGCAAGCTGTTGGGATCAGTTCCCAAAAGCAAGTTTTCCTACTACAGACAGGAGTTTTCTGCTACAAGGAGGTTTACCTTCCAATAACCAACCTGTATTTACGCTGTGCCCCCGCGGTGACTCATAGCAGCCAGCAAAGAAATTCCACTCAGAAACTACACATTGGTTGGTCTAAGAGTATTTTCTCCCCTGCCTTTTATATTCTGAACTATGTATAAATTTCTTGGAGCTTTTATTTCCTTACCTAGGAATAATCTTTCCAACAGCTTTCCCATTACCAAACCCCTTGGTTTAGCCCTGTGGGAACACGATATCCCGTTCAGCGTTTCCACAAATAGATCAGAAATTACTCCATACATTGCGCCAGTAATTAGAGACAGGTGTAGTTTTGAACACAGGCCTGTATTTTATGTTATTAGTATGAATCATAATAATTCTGATCAAATAAGTGAAGTATCATCATCTATTAAATGACAGCAGTATTTGGCCCTGAATGTTGAGGCATTACAAGATGCCAAAACACTGGCACAAGCGCTGTTTGCAAGTCATACCATTGGCTTTTCCTGATGTTTTTCCACCTTTCTCAGAGGAAACACAAGCAAGATGACAACCAAACTAAGTGAGCATTTGAATTTATACGGCTTAGAGTGTTTCAAGTTCAAACCAGACTCCTGGAAGTTTCTGAAGAGGAGCCATGTGTATAAAGGCAGCATATTTCAAATCATGGCATGGAGCCAACTGCAAGTTTCCAGAAGATCCACAGTCTTGGGATATATCCCACAACACAGTTACCGTAGCATTAAAGTGCTGGGGGAAAAAAAACACTGAGAGGCAACAAAGACATAAATATTCCTAGCAACATAATGTGGTCTTCTTCCTCTGATATTTACATTCCAATTTCACAAGTTCAGTTTTCTTAGAGTTTAATATTTGAGGTAAATGACACACATCTTCCAACAGAATGCAAAATCACACACACAGAAGTGGAAGTTGTTACTTCACGCAGATTTAATTCAGCAGGAAGCCAGAAAACTTCCTTCCAGGTAGGAGTTGTGGCACACAGGCTCTGAACACAGACTCTGCAAGTTAAACTGTGTACCAGCAGCAGAAAGTTTTTCATCCCCACAACCTGTCTACCAGCATTCAAGTTTAATGAAAAGCAGTAGTAAACCAGAATTAAATACACACACACACTATCCAAATACAAACATGGAAAGGAAAATAAGTAGCAGATGTCTTCTCTTCTGCCTTATTCCTACTGACTCACATGGGCCCTCTTATGCACATTAGACATATACAGCCTTAGGAGGCTTTTTCTTAAAGGCACAAAACAGATGTTTAGATCTACAAGAAGTTCTGCTGGCAGTACATGCATACTGTTAAGTTTTCTGAGACATAATTTAAGGAAGATTTTATTTTTTTTAACCTTGAGAGATTTTTGGGCAACGAATTTAAATAAACTTTAAAAAGACTACTCATATTCAATTTGTTTCTGTTTTAGAAAAGTGGTTAGTTAAAAAAAAATTAATTGAACTGTTACAAGATTTTGTCTTGGATAGTTATGTGCTACTGTATGGTAAATCCTCCTTAACCATCCTTGTTCACTGAAACTCCTCAAATCTCCTTATATTCAATATTCATGACTAGAAAAAACCCACAAGGCACTCACGGGAAAACTGAATACTGCGTTTACAAACCTGACTTCATAGAATCATTCCCTAAATGGGAATATTTTGTGTGCTCTGTAAATATTTTTTAGTCTCAAGCCACTTCAGAAGAACAAGCCCTGGTTAGAGCAGTTCAGTTCTAGCACTTTTCACTGCTCACAGGCAGCGGGATGGGCAGTGACTCAGGCCTCCCCACATCCCCTTTGGAATAGCATTGCTGGCCAAGAGGCTGTAACACCCATCTGCTCCAGTTCCTAAGAAGCCTGCCAGCTCCACCAGGCTTTCCCAGAGAGGGCCAACCTTCGTCTGACACTTGCTGTGGACGCCTGCCTCCCCGCAGCTGGACACCGCTCCTTGCTGGCACTGCTAAGAGCTTCTTCTGGGTCATTTTCACAGTCAATGCCTGCCACCGTATCTCTCTGAAACAAGACTGTCAAATATTTAAAAAAATCACGATTTGACACTAGTGCTGGGGGGTATTAACATATATTATGGCATTATAGGTTTTGCTAAAACAGACAGCATAATTGAGCTTTGAGGGAGAACACATGACCCAAGAAACCAATGCAGGAACTTAGTGGTTCCTTCCCGCTTTAAGATCTTCACTTCTAGGACAGATGGCAAAGCATTATTCCCCAAAAGAGAAATTTTTCCAGCTCAGCATTTTTATTTTGTTTTTAAATAACCACAGTCCCATGCTGAAAGCATCAACATGCTCTCTTACATCTCACTGTTGATTCACGTTGCCAGGTGAGGTGCTGATAAATACACACTTGCGTCATGTTATTTTACAAAATCATTAATATGACCACATTTATTATAAGTAATGACATACCATACCGACATGAAGTGGAAACTGTAACCTGGCTATTGCAAAAGAAGTCAGGTCCTGACACAAACCCCACTGCCCAGCTGCCACTGCTGCAGGGGCCTCATTCAAAGCTATGGGGCACCAGCACATCTGGGATGGGGTGGCAGGGGAGAGGGGCTGCTCCCCCCTTCCAAGAGAGGGGTGACTCAGCCTGCTCTGAACCTTCTTGTACTGGCCACCTCAGCTCCTGGGAGCCGGCACCTGATCCCAGCTGGTGCCTCGGGGGAGGATAAAAGTTTGCCATCAGGCAGAGGGACTTGTGCATTTGCAGCTTGCTTTAGGATGAAAATCAAGGGTTTTCTCATCTGGGGAGGATGATGATGTAAGAACCTTCGTTTTCAAGGTTTACCTGGGGTTTACAAAGATCTAATCATACTTCGCTCAGGCTCATGGAAAAGTGGCTCTGCTGTGCTCAGTGGAAGCCGGAGGATCAAAACCCGAGGCAGGAGGGGCCCGGAATCCCCCGGGATCAGCCCCATCTCACAGACGCCGGCCTGCAGACCCCGGGGAGGAACCAGAGCGCCCCAAATCCCCCACGCCCCGCTCGCCCCCGCCGCCTCCCACCCGCGACGCCTCCGCGGGCCCCGAGTCACCCCCGGGCAGGAAGCTCAGCCCAGCCCTGCCCTGCCCCGGGGGCAGAGGCGGAACCGAGCAGCGACCCCCTCGCTCCCCCCCGCTCACCGTCCGCCGACAGCGACATCTCGATGAGGGTCTCATTGCCTCTCTTGCCCAAGCGGTTCATGGTGGCCGCCTTTCCTGCCCTCGCCGGGAGCGGCCGAGGAGCGGAGGGGGTGACTCAGGGCCGGGCCGCCTCAATACATGCGCACTGCCCGCGGGGGCGGAGCGGGGCCGGGCGGGAACGGGGGGAGCAGCCCCGGCCGGGCGGCTCCGAGAGGGGCCGGGCCTCGCAGGAGGGTCGGCGAGACCAGGGAGGTGCTGGCCCCGCACGGAACAAAGCCCCAAAAATCAGACCATGTGCCTGAGGGCGGTGTTTATATACGTGGTGTGGGCCCGGCTCGTGTCCCTCCCCAGCGTCTTGTGCGCCCCCCGCCAGGAGCAGAACAGGCGCGCTGTGCTCGTCAATATCTAAAGTATCCCTCTGTTATCAACAGCGTTATCATCACAAAGGCAAAACACAGCCCCATAAAAGCTACCAGGAAGAAATTTAACCCTTGAGGCTCTGTTGACAGCTGCTCCTGCAGCTGTACCATTCATAGAATCATAGAATCAGCCGGGTTGGAAGGGACCTCTGAGATCAAGTCCAACCCTTGATCCAACACCGCCGTGGTTCCCAGACCATGGCACTAAGTGCCACATCCAGTCTCATCTTAAAAACCTGCAGGGAAGGAGAATCCACCCCTTCCCTGGGCAGCCCATTCCAATGCCTGATTACCCCCTCTGTAAAGAATTTCTTCCTAATATGTAACCTAACCTCCCCTGGCACAGCTTAAGATGTTGACCTCTTGTCTTACTGATCGATGCCTGGGAGAAGAGACCAACCCCCACCTGGCTACAACCTCCTGTCAGGGAGTTGTAGAGAGTGAGGAGCTCTCCCCTGAGCCTCCTCTTCTCCAGGCTCAACAACCCCAGCTCCCTCAGCCTCTCCTCACAGCATTTGTGCTCAAGTCCCTTCACCAGCCTCATTGCTCTTCTCTGGACGTGCTCCAGCCCCTCAATATCCTTCCTGAACTGAGAGGCCCAGAACTGGACACAGCACTCAAGGTGTGGCCTCACCAGTGCTGAGTACAGGGCAAGAATCACCTCCCTGGTCCTGCTGCCACACTGTTCCTGATCCAGGCCAGGATGCCATTGGCCTTCTCGGCCACCTGGGCACACTCTGGCTCATGTTCAGCTTTCTGTCAATCAGCACCCCCAGGTCCCTTCCTGCCTGGCTGCTCTCCAGCCACTCTGTCCCCAGCCTGTAGCCCTGCATGGGATTGTTGTGGCCAAAGTGCAGGACTTGCACTTGGCCTGGTTGAATCTCATCCCTTTGGAATCAGCCCAACTCTCCAGCCTGTCCAGGTCCCCCTGCAGAGCCCTCCTGCCTTCCAGTTGATTGACACTCCCCCCCAACTTAGTGTCATCTGCAAGTTTGCTGATGGTGGACTCAATCCCTCATCTAAATCATTGACAAACAGCCCTGGCTCCTCATTGCTTCCTTCAATCGTCAGAGACAGTTCCCAACACTCTCTATATTCAGTACATGTATTTAGTATATTTTTGTATACTAATATAATCTCAGGCCTTTCAGATTAACTTTTTTGTACATTCATCTTTTATTACCCAAGTTAACCATTCCATGCACCAAACTGGTGGGGAGTTTTGTTACTTGGGCAACTGTAACACAACAGCAGCTTCATTACAGGAATTCTTAATAAGAAGTTACTCAAGTAAATTAGTTGAGTTCGTGGGCATGTTTTCATACTAAGCCTTTATTTGTGGAGCATTACTGCTTCAAGAAGTGTATTTTTAGTCAAGAGCAAGACCTAAAAATGTGTCTGGTTGCTTTCCAAAGCCTAAAATATTTAGTTTGGGTTTAATATCATGATGCAGGATAGTGGGGACAAAGAGGAAGGGCTTGGTGTACCAAAGCATGCCTTCAAACAGCTTGTGACTGCGTACAGTGCACCAGGTCACAACGTTCAGTTTAAAAGCTGCACTTTCTAAGCCTTTAATTTCCTCATAGCGCTAGATATCTTGGATAAATGCTTTTATGCCCACAGAATATGCAATTAGAGTTGCAATGCAATTGGATTTGCTATTCAACAAGAGCCAGAAACAGCAAGAACCAGAGAGGTCTTTGCTCAGTTTTGCCTCCTAATTACACGCTCCCTCTGCCCAGCTCCACCCAGCAGCAAACCCAACAATACCTAAAACTGTGTAAGTACCTCAGCCAGAATGCCAAAGAAGATTTTACAGACCTCTGTAATTGTACAGGCTGATGGTATGTCGACTTTGTGCAAATTACACAGTGGCCTGTGGTAGGGTTGGGACGATGCTCTCCCAGAATGATCTGTGGAGGAGCACAGGAGCTCCATGCAATACCCAGCACCAAATTTTCTTATGCATTCAGAGTTTAAGCAGCCATTGTCTGACTCGGTGGCTTCACAGTTTGCCCAGGTGATCTAGGACCACACTTCTTTCAAAGGGCACACACCTTTTTCCCTCCTACTTTCCAGTGTCATGGCTGATCAATCATAAGGTGATGCATGACTTATGTCAACCTGTTAAACTGCCTGACCTTTTTTAGTTTCTTTTTTTTATTATTCCTGGGTTTTCAGTTCCATGAATCACTGCAAACAACAGGTACTGCCAAAATAAAGGAGAAGATTGGGAACCACACAATGGCAGGACCATTTTATTCCTGAAATATTAATAAAGTAACTATAGTATTTCTGTATTTAGTGGTCTGGAGTTCCAACACTGTTTCTAATACAGTGTAAACATAAACCAAAAAATAATAAAAATACCTAGAAGACTGTGGGTAAAGGCAGCAAACACCACCAAAAATTGGTAGCAATGAATAAATGTACATATTCGTGAATAAAGGTATATTCAGCAGCAAAGCATAATCCTTTGTGTGTGCTAAAGGAGAGTGGGTAGTTTGTAACCCTTATAAAATCTTCCTTTCCATTGATGGGCCCTTTCGAAAGCATGGAACTGATTTACAGGCCTTCATATTTAAAAAAAACCAAATTGCTATTTAAACACAAAATTAGTAGGATTGAAGGAGAAGATTTCAAAGATATCTCTATGCCTATTGTTGTCTCAGGTAGGTACCCCAAAGCTGTTCAAAAGAACTCCTAACATACAACCTGAGATCCCAACTTTCAAAAGTCAACTTAAAAGACTGTCTAAACCTTTTGGCATTAAAGCACCTTTAAAAAGATAACCCCGAGTCTTAAATCATGTGGAAAATGGGAGTCTTTTGTATCTATCAGTTAGATGCTCTGAAAAAAAATTCATTCTCTTATCAGTCCTCTGGGAGAGAATCTAACATATACAGCTTTTGCATTTACCACCTGGGGACCTACCCAAGTTGTTCAAATAACACATCCTTTCAGAATTCCTTCTGCTATGCGTGTCATATATCCACATCACAGTCTCAGAAGGTGCACCAGGTTTCTGCTATTGAAGTGTGTTGCATACACTTATCTTGTTTAAAAAGGGTTTTTTTTAATATATATATATTAATATATATATATATATCTCCAGAGTTTTAGTAAATTTTCAAATCAGACTGTGAACACAAGTCAGAAATAATGAAACACAAGTTTGAAATAGAGACAGGAGCGAAAGGGAAGCCTTTCCTTCCCAGCCTCCTCAGCCTCCTCCTGCTCCTCTGATGGCTCAACTACCCCATGGATGTTTGCTGTGTTGTGAGATTTCAGCACATGTGGGCTGTGTCCCGGAAATTAGTGTTGCTGCCTCCCATATTTTCAGGAGTGTGCTTTTGTCAACTGATTTAAAGGCTGTTGGAACTTTTTGGTCAAAGAGCTAATGTATTTCCCCGTCTTTCAATTAGCCCTTTAGAATATAAGTAATAGTGTAATTTGGAAAGAAGTTAATTGTTTAGACACTGGTAGGGCCTGATACCAAACAGCCTGAGAAAGGTAAAGTGGGACTTAGATGGAAGTTAAGTACCCAAATCCAGCATTATGGTACCAAGAAGTACCAACCAGTTATCACAAGCTTTTTTTATTATTATTTTTAATGCACCAGAGCATAGTTTCTGTATCCCAGGCAAAAACATCTGTTAAAGTTTCAACACATATGTGAGGTGTGGGAGATCACAGGACAGCTACTGTGAGTGAAGGGGGGTCTGCCCACATCAGGCTGCCACACCAGGCTGTGCTGGGGTAGGAGAGCGGAGGAGTGATAAACGAGGCAGGAGACAGGGATGGATGGTGTACCGTGTGCTCTCCTGTGAAGGCTGCCACTGTAAAGAAAAGAATGTAATAGCCACTGTCGAAAGAGAAAGCCCAGGGGAGATCGCAGCTCGTCTGAGTTTCAGTCTGTGCTCCATAAACTCTTTCCGCACATATTCCGGAGGCTGAGATCTGACTCCTCCCACTACACACAGTTCCGAAGGGAAACCCAGCTGCTTGAATAGCGGGATCAGGAGCGAAGAAATACAGTAAGGCTTGCTGATGGGAATGGGCAGTGAATTTGTGTATGGAGACAGCTGATTATTTGTGCCTGCTACCGCAAAGCCCTAAAACCATCAGGAAATGGAAAGAGAGTGCCATAAAGAGATGTGCTGCAAGGCGGCAGAGTGCCAACGCTTCTCAAAGGAAGTAAAAAGTTTTACAAAGTATGCAAAAGTTCATCATTACTCACTGCAATTTTTTCCTACTTCATCACTTTCCAGTCAGCTGTTTGCGGAAAGCACCGCAGGCGGCTGTAACACCTATGGTGTCTAAACAAACAGATGACTTTACAGACTACAATCTACGTTTTTCTTGGCCGGAGTTACTACGCGTTGACAATAGCAGAACTAACACCAAGTCCCCGGCGTGCGCTCTCCCCGGGGCAAGGAAACCGCACGGGCGCGGTCCCAGCTAAGCCGAGCCGCTTAGGTCCGACCGCGGGGAAGGACCGAGCCGGGGACGCGGCTCTGTGAGCCCGGCGTGACAGCAGCGGCTCGGAGAGAGCTGCTGGAGAGCAAGGCAATCTTAACGGCAGCCTGTATCCCCTTTCAAGCACGAGCAGACGTTTTAGTGCTGTAATCCCGCAGTTAACACTCCCATAACTGGATTGCCCGGTTTACGGCTGCCATCAAAGCCTTCTTAAAAATTATAATTCAAAGAA